CTTTTTTCCCTGCAAATGTTTCTATGTTGTCTCTGGCCTTGACAAATACCATAAATGTTTACATTAAGTCCTTCTAGCAAAGACTGGAGCATAAGAGGTATTCCCACCCAGAACCGCTCCTCTGTTTGTTATACAGAAACAGAAGCAAAGGTCCATCCAGCCTGTCACTGCAGTGACCAATGGGAAACACCTGGGGAAGAGCATGAACTCCCTGTCTTACTTTACTCTTCTTATGTCTCTCAGAGTTGAGGCAAAAAAGAGACTGCAACAGGCAGCAGCGAGTGGAAACAAAGAGGAGGAACAGGGAAAACGGAGAAAAAAGAAAGTTAAGGATTCTGGCCTGGAGATAACCAGAATGGACGTGGAAGAAGTGAGTACCTTTAAAATAGGCATGCGGCCATCGCCTCTTGTCTGCCTTTGTTTGAACATTTGACCCAATCACACGCTTTCTTGGAGGGGGGGTTCAGCCTTGGTTAGTCCACGTGTCTGTGGACAGAGCTCTTTGGGTTCAGTTCCCCACCGCTCAGGTATGTACCTGCTCTCCCACGGACTGACGTGTCTGGGCCGGTGAAATGTCAGTCCCGGTCAGCATCTCTCGCCCTTCGTGGCCTGCTGGCGAAGCACATCAGTGCTGCTCTGGGCTGGGCGGCTCCCGTGTGGCGAGAGCCTGCCACTGAGCAGCTGCGGCAGCTGAAATGGCGCTAAACCGATGGTAACCAGCAGGAGACAGCCTGCCCCTAAGTACTTCAGCGCCTTAACTGCTCCCAAAATGGGGAGAGATGGATGTTCTTGTCCGATAGCAAGATGTTGTGACCCTTTTTTGTTTCAGACAAGAGTGGGGTTTGGTGCGAGAAGATTATTTGCTCCACTTGTTGTTTCCAATGATGTTTACAGGCCTTGGTGGATCTGCAGCTGGGCAAACAAGTCCAAGTCAGCTTTTTTGAGAGCTGGGAGGAACTCGGAGAATTTGCCACTATGTTCACAAAAGCTGTCGCTGAAGCACCGTTCAAGTGAGTAAGCAGATGAGGTTTGGCCAGATCCTCTTTGGAGAGGCTGCGCTTTCGCAGTCACTGGGAGGGAAGAGCAGGTACGCGGCTGCGCTTCGGTACAACAGAGTATCGTGATTTTTAAAGGAGCCTGCGACGCAGAGCAGCTGCTAATGCAGCTCCTTCAGTTTGGGTCAGTTCTGGGAACCTGATGCCCTGCCTGGGGAGGGGTGAGGACAGACCCTGGTTTCACGCTGGAGTCTTGACAGCACGTAAAGCTCTTGTTCTCGGTCTGAGTTTAGGAGTGGGAAGGGAATGCAAGGCGGGTTGGGCTCTCACAGCACCAGCTTTTCTTCAGTGTGTAGCCAAGAGAGACGTTGCTGAGAATGAACTGTTTAGCTGCTGCCATCGATGAGGAAGGACGGCAGCATGTTGAAAAGCCATCTTGTGCAGTCTCGCACAATCCTAGCATTCCTATCACAGCAGCTGCTGTCTTTTACATCTCAGCCACGAGAAGAGATGAGATGTCGTTACAAATGACATGTAAAAGTGTTTTATCGTGGTTGACAGTCAGAAAGTGAATTCTTGTTTACCACTTTGTATGCGTGTTGGCTTGCGTCCGGATTGCTCCCAAGGACAGGATTGTTTCTTTTCCTTTTTCAGGAGGAGATCTGGGTCTCAAACAGGCAATTGGTAATGCATGTAAAGAAAATAGGGTCAATTTTTAGCATTTACTTTGGTGCCGATGCTGTCTGTAACAGCACGGAGTGAGAAATGGCTCTCTGGCTATGTGACAACAGATGCAGGAATAGGATTTGCTTCATAGCCTCATTGTCTCATTTGCTTTCCCATTCTTTGTTCTCCCTAGGCGAGAGCGAGAGAAGACGGGGTTCTCCTTCTACTTAGAGAAGGGGTGGTGCGGCGGGGTGAAGGTGGATCGTTCCGGGAAGGGTCTCCTGGAAGTTTGGAAGAGGCAGATACAACAATTTAACCGGGTCAGCCTGGAGATGGCTGAGGCCATTGTGGCTGCCTACCCTTCTCCTCAGCTCCTCAACCAGGTGAGGATGCCTCGGGAATACCGAGTACTGGCTGCGCCCAGCCAACTAACGCAAGGAGCGGAGGAAATAATTTAATTGGTATGAAACTTGGCAGGAGGATTCTGTATGAGCTGTTTAGTAAGCTAGTGAAGGAACCGATTCCTGGGCACCCACTGCTTTGGCTTTACAGAGCGGGCTGCTGAGGGGGCAGTGCTGGTTCTGCATCAGCCTGGAAGCTCCCAGATGAGATCTGGGGAGAGACCAGCTGAAAAATGAGTGTACGGTGTGAAAGAGTGGAGCAGTCGCAGGTACACAGCTTTGATTATTTTTTGGAGCAATGGATGCAAATGGCTGATAGCGTTCCTTTGTGTTGCTTCTAGGCCTATAGCAGATGCTCCTCGGAGCAGGAGCGGGAAAACGTGCTGGCTAATATCCCTGTGCGCCGCGGGGACGGCGTGACAGCCACCTCCCGGCGGATCGGGCCAGAACTCTCCCGACGAATCTATCTGCAGATGACTTCCCACGATCCTGATCTCTACTTGGATTTCACTGGGTAGCCCCAGGGAACGAGGATTTTACTGTTTGCCTGGCTTAAGTATTCAGCTTCCTTCTGGGAAGAAGTGCTTAGGTAACAGATAGAGTCACTGATCCTAGCTTAAAGACTTCAAACACGTTTAGACTTTATGGGAGCAGAAGAAGGTTGGATAAAATTGCTGAATGGCTGGAGTTTACCCACAAAAGATGAACACCTTCTTCCGTAAGAGCATGAGTTGGACACGGCTTATAGTACTGACAGTTCCTTTTATTTGTCTTCCTAGAAAATAAATTATTTTGAATAATAATAACGATCTTTGCTTCTTAACATGCCGTCTTGAATACAGACAGGTACATCATTTGTTGAAAGGAATACTTTCTGCTGCTATCCTAAACTCCAAGTAGTTATCTTCTCTCTCCAGCGTGAAAAATCCTAATGCTAAAAGCACCCTGGTGCTGCCCCCCCAGCACCTGCTCTAGCGAGGTGGAAGAACTTTACCTCACAAAATAGACTCTCCGTTTTCCGCTGCACCAGATGGGAATGAGTAAGACTAATTTCCAGACATAAATTTAGACTGCCCTGATTCAGTCTCCAGATGGCTTAATCTATAGAGCGTCTTGAAATCTGATTATATGTGCTGGAATTATGAAGTCTAAACAGTTGGCAGAAAAAGCTTTCTTTTAATTAGTTTGGGGAACGTGCTCGCCTGGCCACGAAGCCATTAGCGCCTGCGTGCACACAAGGACAGTTGAGGTCTTTTGCGACGGCAGCGCTTACCGAGACGAGTGCTGAGAGTGAATTAAACCGCGCCTGATGGGTGGAAGCTGCCTTTGGAACCGTGCTGCCTCGAATGGAAAAATACGCCCCCGCCACGCTGGCTTCAGGCGTTCAGCGGCAGCCCTTGCCGGGCCAGCGGCGCGCTTCTGACCCGAGCTGATAAATCCTATCCGCCCGCGTCTGCGGCCTTAAGCAGCGCTCTCCTAGATGGCGAAGCAGCAGGCCCCTGCCCGATGCCGGCAGGAACGGCTGCCGCGGGGCAGTGTCGCTTTGGAAGTTGTTTGCTGTTGTTTCCAAACGTTTCTGGATAGTAAGCAAGGACCTTTGAAGCAATGTGACGAGTTAGATACCAAAAGCAAAGCCTAAAGCTGTTTCAAGGAAGCTTAAAAAACCCTATGTACTGCTAAGCCAGAGACCGGCAGCCTTTCCTTCCTGCCAGCTGATATTCACGCTGTCGCTTTTTTCGGCATGGAACTCGGGAACCACAGACTTATCATTAGGTTACAGAAAGGTGAAGGCTCACTGCTTCGACGACGACCTTGGTACGAAACGCTACAGATTATTTCCTCATGGCACTGCTCTTATCAGCAACAACCCCAGGTATTAGAAGAGAGGGAGCGATTCCGGTGACTAATGAGGAGGCCTCAGTGGAGTCGCGAGCATGGATATTCTCCGAAACCCGCGCTTACGTTATGTGTACGCTTCATTTTAGTACTCACAAAGCCCTTAAGGACATGGCAAACTTCTGTTTGGTTTTCTCTGTAAGGAAAATTCCAAATAGGAATATATTTCTGTAAGGAAATGATAAATAACCCACAGGTGAGTTTTCTTCTCTAGGTGCAAACCGCCAAACCTCCCAGCCTTCCCAACACCCCCGAGAGCAGGCCCGGCTCTGCCCAGCTGCGGCCGCAGTGCCACCACCCAGCGCCACGGCAGCCGGCCGCAGGCCCTCACCTCCCCCGCCGCCCATCCGCGGGGGTCTG